AAGGCCACTCGAGTAAATACACTCACTAAATTATGGTAAAAATCTAGTTTAGATTCTTATTGTGGTTTCGATTAGATCACGGCGGATTTATTAGCGTGTCGTCAGCTCGACGAAGGAATCCATTACGATTATCTTTCATCGGGGTTATTGAAAACCACCAAATCTCTTATTTGCACAAACCTCGAGAGGAGCAAAAAGTGTCAGTAGTATATCACGAGAAGGCGTGTCTGCCAATAACCATCAACTATCTCCAGCTCCACCAGATGTCCAGATGTACCCTCGAGGGACCTTCAGATGATAATCATTAACACTAACGTATTTACGAGGCCCTTTATTACTCCGCACTATCTAAACAAAAAGATGCTAACTGTAAATTGCATTGTCCGATGCTATCGAGCTATAATTTCCGTGACACTGTAAATTCATACTTACGTGAATCTTGGAAAAGAACCACATAAATTTAACGCCAAATCTAAAGCGATCGAGATAATAATAATAACAACGTATCTATTTATAAACAGTTATTAAAAAACACTCAAGAAGTAATTTATATCACTTTCAATTTTTGGTTGAATCGTTTCCAGGATCGTCCAACTTAGAGAGAGTGGGCTGATAGCGAATTTGTATGCAGTTAAAGGCACCGTTACACATCTGTAGGTTTGTCAAGTCGAGGTTGACAAACAATAAATAGAACAAATCGAGTTTACGACAGGGTTTTCCCGTGTCTTCGGTTCGCTTCTCATGGGTTGTGTTGGTCAATATAGGCAGAACTGGGGTCAATTACTATTTAGAGATTGGCAACGACACACAAAAAGATCAGTCAATAAAACCCAAGGGAAATGCTTAGAATTTAAATAAAACTACTAGTAATTCCAGAGACAGACCAATACATTAAAAATTTACTCATCGTGGAGGTCACAAATATAATCTTAGGTGCCTTCCAGCATTAGAAATATGTTTAACACTAATTAGTTTATATAATTCACAGGACGTTGCAAGTGCTCATTCCCCTAACGCGTAGAGTTTTACCAAACACCTAGCACTAGAAACTTATATAACAAAAATATTTTTAAGTTGTCCTAAATTTGAAAATAAGTATAACTAAGAACGGAAATTTTACAAGTTGGTCTCTCAGGAAAAAAAAAACAAAAATTAAAAAAACATGTTACAGAGCGTTTATGATAAATAACCTGTAAATAGTTTGAACTACAACACTAAAATTTGATAAACGGTTTGGATAAATGAGACGCGACGTTTTCTTCTTCAATTTTTGAAAACAAAACATAACTCTGTTAAATTTTGTCATTTCCATTCGAACATCTAGCAAGTCACACAATCACTGAAATTTTTATCTAATTCTAAATCACGCATCCCGAATCGGTTTTTGTGTAAGTATGACTTAAAAAATAAAAAAACAACAAGTTTTTTTGAAATTATGTATTGGAGGCACAAGTTAAAACACAAACGTGCCACATAATATAACAAAATAAAACTTTTTCTGAAATTTAACTGACATCTTTCACATATTTCTAGTTTATACAAAATTATGCATTTATTTCCGCGTAGTTTGTACTTGAATAATTTGTTATTCTACGATTTTATAAGAGAACGATTCCGTTTTTTTTCCAAGATTTTTACATATTGACTTTTGATGAAGGAAATAAACTGGTAAAATCTGATAAATACCGGTTCTTTTCTTTCATAGTTTGGGAAAAAAAAACTATTTATCAATAAAGTAAAGTTTTCATTACACAAACGACTTCATAATATGTATAACAATTTGATATTAAACGTTCTCTAGACTTATCACCCCTACATCCGATTTTGCTCTCTCTGGACGGTTTTATTTTTACTTCGCGACCGTAAGTTAGAATATGAAAAACTAGGTCCCCCGTTTCTGCCTCTGATTGTCTGGGTGCCTTTTTATTACATAGATATTAGAAATAGAAAAAAGTCTAAGACTAAAGTTCTACAGTTCTTTGAGGACCATACCAAAATTATTTTCAGCTATACAGAGTGTTCTGTTTTTAAGGTGTACCACAGAACTTAGTTTTTTAAATGAAACGTCTTACGTATTTTATAGATTCTCATTAGCCTGTTCCTAGGCTTTATAGCTGCCGTTTATTTTTGAAATTCCGATGTGATGTTATTCCAATTTTCTTGAAATTTGTTGGCAATGGAAGGGTTCACAAAAAAATCACAATAGGGTTATTTTTAAAGTGTTTCTTACAATATTTTGTGGAAGGACAAACAAAGATACGTGCCATGTTATGGTATCAATTAAATCAAATTTTAATATACTTACAAACTACATATTTATAAAAAAATCTAAAACTTTACAAATTTCAAATATCAATATTTCAGTTTTAAAAAAATACGCTGTATTTTATTATTGTATCTTACTATATATTTTTGTTCTCATTCTTCTAATAGGTCCATGTGTCTTAACAAAGCAAAAAGACCACAGTATCTCTCTACTTTAAATATACAAAATACTTATCAAAAAAGAAACAGAATCAAAAATAGAATAAGATGCGATGATAAAATATAGGCTGTTCTATTTGAAAAAACTGAGTTATCGACAACTGAAAATTTTAATAATTAAACAAACTTATCATAAGCACCCTGTATAGAAAAAATTTCAGTTATATTACAACAAAGCGCATACTTTTATGTATTTTTCCACAAAATATTGTAACATAGATGTTAAAAATAACCCTACTGCGATTTTTTGTGAACCCTTCTATTTCTCAAAATTTCAAGAAAATTGAAATAACGTGGCAACGTCACATCGCTATTTCAAAAATAAACTGTAGTTGTAATACTTGAGAAGAGGCCAATCAAAATATCTAGAAATATATAGGATGTTTCATTTAAAAAAACGAAGTTATGCCTTCTTACGCCTTAAAAACAAAACACGAAAGAAATACAACACAATATAGGTAAGATACAGTAATAAAATACAGGATCCTCTAGGTGAAAAAAAATCTATATTTGAAAATTGTAAAGTTCAATGTTTTCATAAATATACCGTGTATTAAAGTTTTCTTTAATTCATACCATAAAAAACCGCATACCTCTGTTTATCTCTCCATATAATACGGCAACACAGATCTTAAAAATAATGTCATTATGAATCCCTGCTTTTCTAAAAAAAAATCAGAAAGACTGGAATAAAGTGGCAATGTCATATCGGAATTTCAAAGCCGAACTATAGTTATAAAGCCTGGGAAAAGCTTAATAAGAAAATGTGTAAAAATAAGCAGAACATGTTTTTTTTAACAACAAAGTTGTTTGCTGTGTGTCGAAAACCAAACAGTATGTTTAGCTGAAAAATGTATATATTCAAAGAGCCCTACAACTTTGATCTCCGACTAATTTTTATCTCTAATAATTATAATTACTGAGATATGGAGGACCAGGCGCTTAGTGACGCACCATGTATATTAGGAATATCATGTAGATGGTCAAACGCTAACTAAAATTTGTCTAATTATTCTCACCAACAATTTTATGACGTCAGCTCACTTTTTGCGCAGACAAAGATATTTAGTGATGTACTCCTGTATTTGTCGTTTATGAATCTACCTTGATTTTGTTGATTATTATTATAATTTTTATTAATTCATTCTTGCTATCCTTTACACTCATAATACGAAGTTCGACATGTACGTAGTTTTAAGTAATTCTGTACTATCATTTAAAATTAACTACGACCATTACCGCAATGAATAATTTTATACTGTTACTTTTATTATAATTTTATAAATTATAGCCTGGGCGGGCATAACAGGTTTAACCTCTGCCCGAACGCATTTATTTAATAAAAATAATAATAATAATAAAAAGTGGGTTTCGTAGAGTAGCAGTTCGAGCGCCAGCTTTGCAAATGAAAGATTTCCAATTTCTTTTATAAATTAAGAACAGTCAACAAAATTTCATTGTCTTTTAACACAAATGCCGCCGCTGATGCTTGTTATCTGAACGTACAGTCGAGGCCATTAATAATGACCGCTCTCCGGTCCTAGCAATGCACTGCCGAAAGTACCCGATCGGTTTGAGAAAAGCTAGTTGGTTTAAAACTACAAACACAGACCTGCATTTTCAAAATTCAGCTTTCTCTAAGGGCTCGGGTAATTTCGGCAGTCCATAGCTAGCACCATGGCCACGGGAGGCGGTCATTATTAAAGGCCTCGACTGTACTAATGGTCGAATTCTTTCGAAATATGTATACATAAATACCATAGTCGGAGAGCCGAAGTTAAGCTCTACAACAAATAATATTATTATGTTAATTTTAATATATACAATATTACATTGGTTACATCGTTACATCTTCCCAGAAGTTCAGAAACTTCCATCAAAATTTGAGAAAAATAATAAAATCAACTAATTATTCCAAAGACTGTAAAAAAGGTACTTCTAAACGTCAGGTCTTTTAGAAGATGATGAATTTATAAATTTTTGTATAAGCAATGCTATACTATCATGTCGTTAGCTAGTTTCTAGAATTTCAGAAAAATTAAGTAGACCGTTTCCGAAATAACCAATATAATGTTTATTTCGTGATCTTTTTTAAACCTGTTATGTGAGCAATTAAAAAATAAATATATATGTTACCACTTTCATAAACAATTAAAATCACATTCCCGGAGGAAATGTTTAAAATTTAAAAATAAAGACGAATTAAACCACAGATGCAGGAATATGTTGTTACTCGTATACAGTTAAAGAAGATCTAACTGACAATATTTTGAAACTTGTCATCCTCTTTTTGAATGTTCGAAAACAGGTAGCTTGCTGATCCAAAAGCGAAATATTTCTTGGTTATTGCTGGATATTGACATTAATCAGAAAATTCCACAACTTAGTAAAAAAGAACAACAAGGTGTTAGCTTTTTCGAAACCTGACTTAACACCGTAATTTGAAGTAGACAATAGAAACAAATTGCATACAGACACTAAAGAAAAACAAAAACCTAAAAATATGTTGTCCGGTTGTGAGTGGCGATCAACGACATCTTTAAAATTTTAAAAATACTAATCCATCAACATGCGGTCAAACAAACAACACCAACGACAAAAAACCGCATAAGAATTCGCTAAACGTTAAATAGTTATTCAGAAACGTAAACAAAATCACATTATCAACGATCAAACGTCACTGCTGCTATTCTCCTGTCAGAATGTCATCTCCACTACATAAATAGCGCGAAGTGTGAAACGTCACTCAAAGCCAACTCTGAATCCAACGTTTTCGATCGCACTGTGTTGTACCTATTATGTGTATTGATTATATATAAGGTGGTGCTGCCTGCTGGGTGACGTCACGTGAGGGTGTCCGTTTTGCGTCCATTTTTGGATGGTGGAATTTCCTCGTTGCAGTTCGTCCGCCACCACCCACCTGAGCTGAGCCGCCTGGACCGGTTACCAGTTACCGGTTACATTATTCGGTCTGTGCACTTGGAGAGGACCCACTCCCTGCATAGCATACCTCTGCCGTCTGTCTCTATCGTGGCATAAATATGCAACTATCTGTTGCAAATTGATTGTAAATTGCATTGAATCACGGTTTCCTTTTAAGTACCTACATACGTGCACTCCTCTAATCGTCAATGGGTTCCAGCAAGTGTTGTACACGCGTGCAGGACAGCTTTTCACCATTACCTGCAGGATGAATAAAAGCGAGTAATGCCTAAGAGCACGGTTATGCACATTTATAATTTTTATGTGCTATAAAAGCGATAGCAATTATATGAAATCTACGCTGTTGGAAAGAATCGACCTTTGGTATTATTAGACCGTAATAAAACAACAAATGAGACGCATTCACATATTTTTAGACCGTTTTGATGTTCTGTACGGTTTACTTTTTTCAGTTTTGAACTGGTTTTGCTGAAACTGGTAGTAAAAGTTAATCCAATAATTTTCGAAAAGTAACAGTAAATAAGTATATAGAAACTAATAATTTTGCTTACTTAGTTTAGTCACTTTTACTCAAACTGTAGTAAATAGGTTTATTAAAAGCTTCTAAAACTGAGCCGAATTGAGTACTCATAAACATAACAATCACAACGACATCATGTTCCACTGATGCATGTACCTATTACACATTGATTGCAAATTTTAACGGATGGTAATAATAGGTCATAGCCATTTTATTAGAGGAATAACATTAAGTAGTGGTAAAATTTTACGTCAAGACTATTAAAAATACAAAAAATTCAATCTTTAACATCTTCTTAACAAATTAGTGCATTAAGTTAATAATTTTTAAGAAAATACATGAAGCGCACAAATCTAAGTTAATGTTGTATAATAGATATTTTCCACTAAATGATCAGATTAATGATGAATACCATTGATGCTGTTGTTATCAAGTAAAAATTTTGACGTAATTTTCAAATTTTAGGATGGAAACTGTTACAATCTCTATTCCGCCATATATAAATTCAAATTATAACCCTACAACACAACCAGAGTTTAAATTTCTTAAGCTTCTTAATAAGCGTTTATTACAGCTCTAAACCTCTGATGTACTGTCAGAACAGAAAACATAGAGGAAAAAATATTTTAGACAACAGTGAATCAAGCTTAAAATGACGAAACTCCGCCTGACGTCATAAGAATATTCGACCGATTCGGGATAACTCGTACCACATTTGCAGTTTAGGTCACAGTATGAATTAGGATCGTCTGCTAATAGGAAATTTTTTATTTTTTAATTATTTAATAACGATCATTCTTTTCTGAAGTATACACGACGAATAACAACCATGACTCATGTTGTGAATATATTGATATTAAAAAAAAAGTGGCCAATCGTCCGATGGAGTCGATTACAATACTTCCTTCGTTTACGCTCGGGAAGTAAAAATGGGTTGAGTGTATTGTTTTGTCATTGAAAAATAAAGGACAAAGTATTAAAACAACTGCACGTTACAACGTAAATTTAAAAATGTTCACAACTTTTGTCACAGTTACGTAGTAACTGATTAACAGTAATATAAATAATTATTTAAATATCAAATTTGAGATGAATATGTTGTGACCGGTTATGACCCGGTAATGTTTATTTTGGTTACAACATTATTAGCTTTGTCGTCGCTATAGTGTTTTTATAAATAGCGAAAATATTTATTTACTATGCACATTAAAACAGTTAAATAATGTGCATAAAACAGCAGTTTTATTCTTAATATATAACCCGTCTCAAAACTACACATTTTTATATTAAATCTGCTATAAATCTTAAGGAAAGTTGTCTCGCCTTTACAACATTACTGAGATATGGTTAGTTTGCTACATTCAAAGCAAAGGTGGCATGTTAAATTACAAGAAAAGTGAAATGGCATTTAAGAACATGCGATTGAAATAACTCTTACTAAATAAGTTTTTGCAAGAAAGTGATTAATTTTTGGTGAGAATAAATGTAACAATGTTACCTCATAAAATATAACGTATTCCCAGAATTGAAAGAAATAAATTTCTAAAGAATAAAAATAATTTTGAAGCGCAATCAATGTCGTAGATATTCTTTAGTTTGTAATATAATTTTTTGAGATAGAGTCATGATCTTTCAGGACGAAATGAATACAAATTTTCGTCAGTTCTTTACTCCGTAAATTAACTGATATTATCTTACTTTCTTCCTTTTTGTTTTCTCCACGTTTCATGACCCCCAGAGTACGTCTGTCTGTGGTGATTTTTATTAGATATATAAAATAACATACTCCTATACATGTGGTTTATGAATACGTCTTGCTGTTGTAACCTAGACAAAAATTGAAAATTGTATAATAAAGTTAGATATGTTGTACTTATTGTATTTAATAGGTGAGGAAATTCTGTTTCAATAACTTGGACCATTTAATCATGTTAAATTTAGTTAACGATTTTTCGAAATGATGTGACCAATTTTAGTTAGCGTTTTATAAATAATTTTAAGTACACCTTACAATTTTTCAAAGTAGTCGGTTCAGTAATTTGAAAAAATAATAGATTATAAATAGCAAAAAAGTCAAAAGGAATGAATTCCGGCCAGTTCACGCATTCAAACAGAAACACATTGTTACCATATTTTGCTCAGTTTTCGTTCAGGAAATAAAATACACACCTAGAGCGTGTGTAATATTTATTCACAATTATAAATAAATAACATTTGATAAAAACTCTAGAAAATGTCACATATATTTTCACACATCTTACATTTTAGTTATAAAATATTTTACTTGATACCGTCAAGCTGTAAGCGATATCATCTTGAATCGATTAACTTATTTTTGCATGCTTATTTTAAAAGAGTACGTAAAAACTGGGTCTAGTGATGTCATTTTACGAACTAAAAAGTTTTATGTTGTTCTTACCATTTAAAAAGTGTGTTAATGACATTATAATTTTGAAAGTGAAGAGTTCTTAAAATGGTTGCCCATGTGACAAACTGTTGACGTTCAAGTGATTTTACTTTTGTAATATTTCCATGATCGTTACTGTACTCGTTATTGTTTTGAAAATATGTCCTTTAAATGGAAATTCTACTATAAATAAAAGTCAATTATTCAAAATTTTGCGATGCCAGCCTTGGACTTCCAACATTTTTCTTAAACTCTATTTTACTTATGTACACTGCATATTTACTAATGGTAGATTGATTATTATTAGATTAGGGGACAGTTTTATCCGTTTTCCGATAAACAACTTTTTCAGTTCAGTTCGAATATACGAAGATAAAGTACCCTTTCAAACACATGACAAATAGCAGGCACTTGGCCAAAATGATCTTTTTACGTGTTACTTAAATGTTGTTTTTTTAACTGATTTACAATATTGTTTAAATTACCTTCAGTTGCTTTAATTTTTTTAATCTGCATTTTTCCGGACTACTGCCTTCTATAATTTTATTTCTGTTAATACATAGGATAAACAACTGCCCATATTATTTAATTTTTCAATAAACTATTAAATCAATATTTTCAGCAGGAATTTTCACTGAAAAATTGTATAATATTCCGTATATATCTTTACTTATTATACAAGTAACGTGTGACACATACATCACAAGTTTTTACGTATCAAACCCGTAACAGATGACAACTGACAGAAGAATAGGATTTTATTTTATAATTACATCTTCTTTATGTGTCATTCCTGACATTGGCCAAGCAGTAAAAAATATCTAGAATTTACACAGAAGACCTCTAAGATCATGGAATATAAACAGCATGTGATACATAAAGTCTTTGGAAAAAATATGTGTACTTTGCGGTTTTGGGATCAAAATAAACAACTATGCCAACAAACTGCTAGCGTTTAATCATTTTGCACTTATGTATAAATACAGTTCCAAAATTTCTAAATAATTTTTTTAAAACAATATACTTATATGTTTGTGGTTCGGTCTCATAAATAAATGGAAAGAGTGGCAGAATCCAGATTTTATTATGTGTAACTTTCGGTTTTGCTATTGTTGGTGCCACGTATTAGAGAATTTACTGAAGTGTACAACAAACTCACAAAGTACAACTTCAAATCATTACGTGTGTACTGTGGTACCACTACACATCCTGCCACCTATATATGTACAGTAAAAGCAGTGAACTATAATCATTATTTCAAAAACGTGTAAGGGCACAACTACAGTAAATGTGGATAATTATAAAGAAACTGTCAATTAAATAAATATTTAAAAAACAAATATTGACTGCATTGATGTAATGTCAACTAGTACCTCATAAATCATAATTATTACAATCGAAAGAAAATGGTAACGACATAATAAGTGCATAATTAAAAATAAATGACATAAAATCAGAGTGAATTTTTGTTTTATTTTTTTCTGTAAGGAATCTTGGGTGCGGTTCATATTATGTGCACTTCAAATTTGTTTTCCTTTTTCCTCCTTTTTATGAAATTCTTGACAGAGACGTAACATTTATAGCATATATACATTTTTATATTTCATATCACCTTGAGCCAATCCTTCTAATCGATTTCATTTTTAAAGTTTCGGCGTGCGTCTTAATAACTTTAATTAATAGTTATAAGATAATCTATTAATATTGTTAGATAAAACCTCCACCTTAGACACGTGTAAGGGAGTATTATTCAGGATAATCCGAGAGTGATCGCTTCACTGAAAGTCTCGCACCAGTAAAATGAAAAGTGAGGAGTCAAAAACGTGTCGAAACAGGTAAAATACTAACACTAATGACCAGAAATCTTAACTGTTAAGATATATAGATCTGGAATTTGCAAATTGTTGAAAATTTCATCCAGTTTAAAAAAATAAGGTGATATTCACGATAGTAGTAGAATGCAGGTTTGATAATTTTTTATCCGACAGAAAAAAGAAATTAACGACACAACGTACACGCTAACATAAAATATGCCACGACTGAATACCCGTCTCTGTGTGACTAACACAAAAATATATACTTACTATTCGCCTCAAGCCTGAATTCCAAGATTGTTTTTACAAATATAATATCACTCAAAATTAAAAAACCCGTATAGTTAACACTAAATATGTATTTCATCGAAGTAAACAAAAACTATACAGCTTCCTCTCCCTAAATTCCTATTTCATTTTTCATTGTACCATTTCCATCTTTTTTACATTATTTTCAGTATAGTTGCTCTATTTTAATTCGCTTTAACATCCAACTCAGTTTTCACAAACCTATTTCATACAATCGGACAACAGTTCCAACTCTATTCCACCTTTTCTATTTCTTGTAAAGCCAATAAACCTTCGCGCAACTGCCAACGCGCTCTTAAATTTATTGGAATATTCTTCGTTAACGAGATGCAGTATAAAGGTACTCTTTTAAATTAAGAAATGGAGTTATAACCACACATGATAATTTCCTACGTTCTGCCAAGGAATAGTTTTTTCGTACCCCGCTTAGTACAACCGCACGAAGAATGTAATGTAACATGTAGAACTGTGATTATTGATAAGAACTTGCATAAATAAGTACCATGGTGCGTAATAATATCTCATTAAAGTTCCACTTACACATGTATAGTATTTTCCAAGCCGATAACTGGTAAATCTTGGATATAGCAAAAGCTGTGATTGTAAGTAGCGAAAAATGTTATATTCTAATGATATTTTTAAAACATAACTGTTGTAAGTATTAGATCAGTCCAAAAATTGGTCGTCAGATCGTTCCAGTAAGCAGCGAACTAATTTAACCGGTACTTAAGGATTATCAGACACAAAAATACAAAACATTGTATATATTTTAAGTCATTGCAAAGTAATTTAATACAGTACATAAATACGTTTGTTGTGATTTAAGAATTGTGGAAATATTTATGTGTTTATCTATAAACCTAACAACCCGTACCCGTACAATTATTGAAAATAATTCGTAATAAAGAAGGAAACACATTAATAAATCTAGATTGTGCATATTTTATGGTAAATGTTATGTATTTATACACCATTACCTTTATTACAAACCATAGAACTAGTTTAATAAAAGGCTAGTTACACGTTTAAAGTTTGCACAGAAATTTTATTTATAGTCTCGCATAGAGAATAGTTACAAACGATTTCCGCACTGTTCAAATTTCCGAATACAGTGGTGATCAACATAAAGATAGTAGTGAAAATTAAATACAAAATTCGAAAACATAGCAAAGCAGATTTTTTGATAAGATCTAGGATAGAAATTTGAGAAACCAAGAACTACCCACGAAGTTCGCTATGTATGCGAACATTCCATTACACGAACATGTGATTATAACGATAAAAGTGATTAATCATTGACAGAAAACAATCTGAAAACAACAAAAGAGATGTTTTGTTTTAGATGAAAAACCAGTACACAGAGACGAAGTGACAGTCATATTTTCTTCAATGTAACGTGCTATTATTATACCTTGTGTTAATTATCGCCATACGTTACATATTCAACTATTCAACAAAGAGAGAAAGTATTTTCATTACTTAGAGACAAGAGACGTGTTAGATGTAGCGCCAAACTAATGAAATTACGTCCATGCACCTGTTTGTTTTCCTGTTTTATAAAGATACAGTTTGTTTGTTCGCACACAAGCAATTATTGCTTTCAAAAATTATTACCACTGGCTTGATTCGTAAACATTCGTGGCGAAAAAGACAAATTTTTGACCTTTCGTACTTGTAAAAATTTCCATTCCATAAACCACCGAACCAGTGGACTACCTCGAAAAATAGCTAATGCGAAACCTCTACCCGTGATATGCATAAAAATCCAAGTAGGCATCAGTATTTCGTCGCCTTAACAACAATACTTTATCACGTTGTGTTTACCTTGACATAATATGGACATAATCAAAACAATCCTTACACACATACGACATTATTTACGACAATAATCGCTCCTAATGTAAATTGACCACATTATCTTTCTGTCACTGTCAAAGCGCAACAAATTTTCGCAAGCATCTGCCACACCTCCGTGAAATTTAAGAATGGGCTGCGATGGCGGAACAATCCCTCGCCGAAACGAATTAGTAAAAGTCAAACAGAAACCTGAGCCGAGGGATCAGACCTCCCATTTAATTTTTCAGTGGAGATACTGCAACCTAACCCAGCAACTCCTTCAACGCCCCATCGTTACGTGCGGCCTAGGCAAGCTCTACAACAAATCGGCCATCATACAGGCCATAATCAATAGAGAATCGCCACCCCACATCAGAACCCTCAGGGACGTAATTACTCTGAACCTAACCCCGAATCCGGAATTCCGCGAAAACGGCACAGACCAAATCGACGTCTCGCCCTACATCTGCCCCGTGACGGGACTGGAAATGAGCGGAAAGTACCGCTTCGTGGCCCTGTGGTCCTGCGGGTGCGTGTTTTCAGAGAGAGCTTTGAAAGAGATCGGTGTGGGGGCGTGTTCCAGGTGTCAGGAAGCGTTCGACGAAGCAGACGTGGTGGTGCTGAATGGGTTGGAAGGTGAGGTGAGGGTGAAGATGGATATGAGGAAGAAGAGGAAGAAAGAGTGGAGGAAGATTCAGAGGATTAAGAAGGTTAGAGTTGGCGAAAATTTGCAGTGAGTTTGGTGACAACGGTCGCTATCACCGCATTAGCAACCACATGTTGTGTCATATCTTTTAAAATATGTGTCTGTATCCGGTGGAGATACCACATGGATGTTTCCCGTAAATAAAAGAACAGTGAGTGTTACATAGTTATCAAAGACATGGAAAGGCCGTTGAATGATTGCCGTTTAACGGTTTACTTGTCGTGAGTAGTTTTGGGATTAAGCCAATACAAAAGTTTCAAATGAGGAGTAATGTTTTCTTAATGACGATACAAATTGGGTACAGTTCTGCGATGTTATCTGTTTTAATTAATGTCTGTTGCTACACGGATTACTAACTATCTCCATTTTTATCAGAGAGAATAGCTTCGATAATTATGTTTGTTATATAGTGATGTGTGTTAAATAAATCACTACCCGTGCGATAACTTATCACGTTTATTGCTTATTTCGAGTGACCTTTTACACAAATACTATTTATATTTAAACCATGGTAAATAGGCAGGAGGTTATCACTTCTTTCCGTAATGTGTCTGATACAAGCTATAAATACTCATCGATAAGTAGCGACACTATTTTTTCCAAGAAATAGACGTCCGAATCAAGGGGACGCCATCTAGTTACAATCGTCGTACTAAATTAACGTCCTCTACGTCAGCGCCTCTAGCGGATTGTAACCTTGGCAAAGGTCAACGAACCGTAGAGATTCCCAAAATTTGCTCACGCAGGCGACGAAAATAGGTGAAAGTTCCATTTTCCTCGACCGACCGTAACAAAATCAATTAGTAGTTTTTAAAAATAAAACTGCCACTTACTTTTTCGAGCTACTCTAGAAAACTGATTACAGGTTGTTACGAGTAGCCTATAATTACGCAGGTAATAATGCATGGTTCGGGTCAATGAAAAAATATAATTTCAAAATAATATCGCTTCATCTAATGAATGTAAAAGCTCCGTTTAAAAAGCTCGTAGAACCACAGCGCATAAAGAAAAGTCGGAAAATGCGTGGATACGTGCCAATAAAATTTGACGCAATACGATTCCCGGTTTCAGTAAACAACAGAAGAAAGTATCTAAAATAAATTTTTAATCAAAGTGACGCGACAGATTTATTATCTCTTACTCAAATAATGGGAAATGATAACGATGTTTGCGTGCTCTACAAAGAGATGCTGCAAAGAAAACCGTTTTCTTGGATTATTTTCATTTTGAAATTCACATTGTTTTTGCGTTCGCGCTATAAAAACGCGACTATTTGCTTTTAAAATTATAGCGGCAATGTAATGGTATTTGGTTATCTGGTTATAACATTATTTATAGAGTATGCCTAAGTGTTTCGCTCGACTCCGAGTGAAGTTTAGGCGAAGGAATATTACATAAGACCACTTGTTGAAATACTTACGTGTACAGACTACCGCGACATGTTTGTACGACTTACAACAACAAACTAATAACCAGTTTAGAAAAATAAACTAATTGGGAACGAAGACCATTTAGTAGTAATTTGGGTGATATTTTAATTATAGCTATGAATGGCTTCCGTGATTACGCCAAGAAAATCGTTATCGAACGGTATTCCGAGGAATTGCTTGGTCGAAGACTTAGACTCATCTATTGTGTGGAAAATTAAACTACACGTAAACCCGGTTCAATTAGAAAAAGCTATTATCGGGGTACGCGTTCGATATTCGGGTGCGATTTCCGACGTGTCACCTCTATTCTTAACAACTTTGATTTCGTCTTCTGGTGGTGGATTCGGAGCCCGGAGGACATCTTTACCTGACAGTATTAGAAGTGTAAATTGTAATCTAATGCTGCCCGGTAAGATGTTAACAGTACTCCTGAGTGTCTTCTCCATATTCGTGATCATCCACGTCGCTTGTCTTGCGACATTAAAGCGAATTCCACGTTTCATACAAAAATCGTAATGGCAAAATTATGCCGGTCTATTTGTAATTCCCTAGTTAATTCAACGCTGCACTTGCTTGTACGTGTTAACGCGGAGGTGTAGGCGTCCGACAACATCGGATTTACATAGATTCCTGCCTTCAACAACCACGTCATCAAAAATGATAATTACAGCGACTGTCGTCGACGTTTCTCCAGGTCTTTACATAAAAATGAAATCAATTGCACCTCCGCGACAATTAAAATAAATAACGCAAGCACCACGATCCAGAATTGAACGCTTTCATAAAAACAAAATCGATCCAATAACTTACATAAGCAAATTACGCAATTACTTTAACCTTATGTGGGCTTATGGGGTTATCATGCGCTTATTAATAATTAAACCAACCGTAATAACGAGCTTCTTACCGAACCATCCGCAATTACAATACACTTTCTTTTTGTCCCGTGCTCTATCATTACTCCCTCTAATCTATCAAATTGAGTTATTTCACCTTGATGTCATTTCGCGCTTCTCTTCCTGCCGTAATTAGTTTAAATGGAAACGAAATCGCATGATTAATTGCCCCATAAACATCGCTTTAAAAGTCAACGCTCTATAAAAATCGCTACAAATATTTTAGCACCACGTTTCGACAAAATGAAGTGTTCATTCGTGCTCCTCGTAATTCAGATGGTTTGCTGTAATTACAGACACGACGTAATTAAATTAGACGGCTGCGAATCGCGAATCTCGAACAGACTCCGGCAATTTTAGACTTTTATGAGACTAACATTGTAAAATCGAGATTTTATTGGATAATAAAGAGTATTGTTTTGCGCCGACAAGCAACGTTCCGCTCAAAATATGATAATATCCTGGTTTATGACGGTTTTTGAAAAAAAAAGGAAGCGTTTAGGCAACCTCTTATACAACGGAGGCGACTTAGACCGACGACTTTGTTGCAGCGGGCTCTCGTAAACCTATCGTAAATGGTTTTATGGTCTCATGGGTTTGCTCGGTCCATTTGGATTATCAATAATGCGCGTTAAATTGTTTGCGGCTATCAATGTGGCTGTTTTAAATACGTGGAGTTAGGTCTTTCCTGGATTCTTAAAAAACTAGCGTTTTTTGAAAATTGGGGGTGGTGGAGATGGTTCGATTTGGGCGTGTTGGTGGATGTGGGTACGAATGCGGTAATTTTTCAGCACTGGTGCTTGAGCGTGTGCAATAAAGTACCCGACCTTATTGAGGCAGTTCGGAGTCATTAAATATCGTCAGGTGAATTTGTCTCTGGAAACCAGTTAGGTAGGCAAGTCTTGTTACGTAAACCGTAAATATATTCTGTCGCTAAGATCTCCGATCGGTCTTTATAGTGCCGTTTATGAGGTTATCACGAATTGGTTTCGTTCCAGACTCACCGAATTGGAAGAAACGGCTATCCGTGAACTAGTCCTCGTCACCTGCAACAAAATAAAGCATGAGTGTTGCATAGAGGTCTTGCAACATGGGTTAATGTAACTGTCGCAAAGTCCGTAGGAGTGTTATTGTTTACGACAGGCTAGAACCGTCGATAAAGCATTGTGGTTGTTAGGTAGGAGTGTAAAAATCGCTCCCAAGCCCAAATTTCTCAAGTATGTAGTACTAAGGTCGCCTGGTGCTAACTTATGGCGAATTTCTACGGTGTTTGCTTACTCTCACTAAAATAATTATGAAATCTGGTAAATTTATATGCAAATGCAACGATGTTTAGCCGTGTTGCGCAACACGTTTCTAAATTATTTCTAGGATTTATAAATATTTATTCGATTCTTGTATAATTTGGAAGCCTTTCCAAATGTTAAGTGCGCCTCACTATTTTCTTTTTTCGAGCGACACTATCGAGGCGCATTGCTTAGCCCAAGAATAAGACACATCGCTCAGCATACCACGAAACCTTGCCAAATGTGCTGCCGTTAGTCAAAACGCCTTCTATTGGCCCAAGAAGTGACAGGTCGTAAAATCGTTGAAATTTTCACGGCGCGGGGAAAACCGCAGCGCTACTTTCTTCGAAAAACAAACGTGCCGACGCGAAGACAAAGTGATACAAGGTTAGCAACGTTAAACAAAGTAGAAATTTACAAAATACTTTACTATTGCGCGCGTACGAAAACTTAAACAAACAGAACGTCTGGCAATGAAAGACTGCCATGCTTTCCAACTCTTTAAATATTTATCTAAATGAAATGCAAATGTTTGTGGGAATTTGAGGAGTTTGGGCGAAATCGTTCATGATCAAAAGTGGCAGAACGACGGAACTGACCTAGACCACCGAGAGCAGCTAGCCCGAACGGCCGGAGACGGTCTTGGCACTGATCACAAAAAGGGGCCACAACGATTCAATTACGATGGCCAATTGACGAGGATGAATGGGTTTTTCGCCGGTCGATCGAGCCACAACGGAGCGATACACTACGGCGGGTTCGTTAGCACTGGAGCTTTTTCGATTTTGGAAATTTAGCACCTCTACACTAGCGCCACCTGCGATGATTTTGCAAAAAATTTGGGACGGTCTCGGTACTTACTTGGCTGCGGCGCGTGTAATGAGTCACTAAAACGGGGTGAAAGCACAAATTAGCTGGAGAAAGTCACTGAATGCCGAAACTAAGGCCGAAAACGCTTAACCCACGAAAGTCAGTGGCTAAACTGGTCGTTTTTCGGCGTATGGGAGCCAGCTATGTGCATTTGGCGCCGGCGCATATGGCCAACAGACCAAGTGGGGTAAGAACGCGCGGAGGACAACGTCCAAACGATAAGCAGGCGACTTCTAAAATCACTTTGTTGTGCTGTGACAAGGCCCATTATATCCCAATTATAACATTGTTTGTGTTTAATTAGGAACAAAATTTCCATATTTACCGATAGATGCTCGACGGGCCGATAAGAGCCTCCCTAATGGCCGCACAACGATAGCTCCTTATCGGCGCTCCGCCAAACTTGCCTTATTTTCTTAATAAATATCGCTCGAGATATGGAAAAATAAACCTGGATTCGATACCGCGGCTCGAAGCGTGCTTTATGGGCCGCCGGCACGGAACTTTCTTGCCGAGGAATCTATTAAACTTATTTTTTGCGACACCTGCAATTAGCCCTATTAAAATTTTAATCGTTAATCTTGCATTAACTGAACTACGAAAATAGATTTTCGATTGCACGAATCTCGCGGCGGTTTTGTTGTTCTCGGACAACGAAAAAATGAAGACGGTGTGACGCAGAGATGGGTACTAATTGCCTGGCTATACATGATATTCAACGAAATTAATTTCATGCATCCTATGAATCAGCATAACGAACAAATAAAATGTGTTTACATGGTCGACGGGTATTCTTGCTTATAATAATCGGATAAATTACACTAATCGGGAAGGTTTTGTTTAGAAAGGTAAAGGTTGCTTGGGTGACCTGTCGTTGCTTGCTTTTTGTGGCCGAAATTATTTAAAGGTGGTCATTAGCTGACTATAAATCTTTTTTTTTTCATAACATGGAAAAGCTAATACAATAACGAACACTACAACTTTGAAAGAGTCGTTTTGCCCTTCAGAAAATCGAGTTTTAAGTGTCGTTTCTCCTGCAAATGTTCTGTTATTACAAAAATTTAATTACTGCTATATGGCGAATATCTTCTTAAAAACACTACCGCGTTAATTCGTTTAAGTCAAACAGACTTCCGTTGTCAAATTACATTATCTACCACATGCCGACTCAGAATTTGTCACTGGATTAACTGCATAAGCATAATATGAGTAATGCAAGCAATGAGTAAGGATAATGAATGTATGCAGATGATACGATTACGAATTTGTTTTGAAAGATTATCTTTTAATAGTTTAGGGAATTTTTAGATTCAGAAGCCATAAATCATCACATTTTGATAGCATTGTTGTTACTCGAGCGCATTACTTGAAAGCGAATTTGTTTTCACTCAAGAATTTCCGGATAACGTAAAATGCATTTCGTCAAGATATTTCATCATAAATATTTTCATTATGAGTTGCAATTATTGCTTGTGGCGATTTAAAGATAAAATTATTTCACACACCTATGATACCCAGCTTTTGCAATTTTTGCATAAAATCTAAATTAGCTGTGTTTATTACAATTTCATTCGCTTTTGGAACTTCCATAAAAAACGTAGAACGCAAATTTTTGTTCACAAATGTTATACTTTATAGCAAAATTAAAAATTAACCAGTTTTGTTGGGAATTTTATTTTAATTTCAATTTTTGTATTACAAATATTTTTCATTTATTTTTGGATTCTTCATATTCTTCATTTATTTTTGCATTCTTTATCATTTAACTACGTTTTTTCCGTTCATATTTATTTACAATTCTACAGCCAATATTACTATTATTTTTATATATCCAGTTTTCCGTTTTCTTAATTTACTCCATGTGATCCTCTGCATTATAAGCTATTTCTCTGAACTTTTTTTAAATAATGTTTTTCTTAATCTGTTTCCCATATTAATATTTTATTAACAATTACATTCAGTTTTCTGTTCAAATAGGTATTCTTTTTTCTTCTGGCCTGCGTGATATTTTATGGCTATGCTTTCTTTTTCTTTCTTAAAAGACATTCTACAACATTTTCTTCTCATTCTTTTTCTTTCCGCTAGAAAAATTTTCGCTATTTATGTTGATTTGACTATTGCTCTGTCTTTTATATTAAACACATGAACACATAACAGGGTAAAATATAACAACTAAAGTTAATTTTGCCTATTTTAGTAGTGGATTTAATTAAAACACTTATTAGGTAGGATAGTCGGAACACTGTCACAATTATGATCTATTTTTCAAAACACAATTTAAAAGATAAAAGAAGACTACGTATGGGAAGGTAAAATTGAAACAGTTGAGTAAAACGAAAGTCAAAAACAATCAATCTAGTAATGGATTAAACAGAAGAAAAGGATAATCCATGGAGTCGCAATTATGTGTTAATAAATTTGTAAATTAGAGACAATTAAGTTTCTCGAATTTTCGCAAAAAATTCAAATTGGAAATAGAAAAGAGGAAAAGATGTATTTCTTAGAAAAACAAAAGTTACATAATAATTTAGATTCGGGTGTGGTACTGACATTAATGAAGATTCTCGAATAATTACATACTAAATGTCGAAAAACTAGAAGAATTTCCACATCAGATCTAAGAAAGATATTAGCGTGAGTGTAACATTAGTTAAAGAAAAAAAATTAGGTAAAGTATTCCAAAAGCTATAAGGTTATATGGACATCATAAAATTATCACATTGTGTGGAACTTAAGTTGTTTACAATAGAAAAGGTTTTAACGTCGTAAATAACGTGTCCAGTGCAGCTCGACCGACTGCTGTCGGTTCGTTCAGGGGTGGCTTTCACTAAATATCTAACTACCTACCACTACTACCTGCAGCCACAAAGGGGTCCGAAATAATCAGTCGCTTTGAAAGCCGGCCCTGTTAAATGTGAGTAAGAAATGTTTAGAAGACGATTTATTGCCAACCGGTAAGCTTAGTGCGAACCACACAAAGGGGGTATTTATTCGCGGTCAACTACTTTTATGATGTTCATCTAACCTTATACCTTTTGGGCTACTATACTTGGCGTGCACTGGAGAATTTTGCAGATGAATTTTATTTTGAAACTTTTGAAGTTGCTTTAGTTTCTTGCATTTCTATAGTACTCTAGCTATAAGGAAAAAATGTTTCTCAGGCACTAAACAAGTCGGCTATCAAAAATGGTCTTAATATTATAGATTATAGAATATTCAAGAAGATAGTTAGAAAAGAAGACGCCAAGATATTTTTAACGATGTTCACAAAGCAGAAGTGAGGAAAGAAAAAGATGGAGTATAAGAAGCCTAAAAAAGTAAATATCGGAACTAGCAAGGGAACACGTCGTGTAGTAAGATTATCAATTCCTGGCTTAAGAAGAACATTATTTATGGCCCACCTAGAGACGAGTATAGAGGAAGGCAGTCGGAGAATTTCATAATTATGCAGTTTCTAATCGCTACGATCAGAATTAAAGAAAGTATTACGTGAACAAACACTTGCGCTCGCTGTTTGAACAATGATAAAGTAAAAAAAAAATCAGACTGATTTATTTTTGTAACTCTGAGATATTTCAAATAATTTTATAAATTATTGTAGGAATAAATTTCAACACTGGCAATATAAAACCACCAACATATAAAAATAATGTTTACTAAAGCTTAGTAATATCCCACAGGTGTAAACATTCCATACAGAAAACTTTAAAAATATAATCACAGTACAAATATGCTATAAAAATAATACTAGCTATTAAAAATATATTATGAAAGTTAACGCAAAAAAGCTTTCAATAAAACCTTTCATACATATTTCTCATTTTTTAAAGCAAATGTATCCACAGTCATGCACGTAATTATTCTTGTAATTACGACACATCTAAATTAAAAATGCTTATTAAAAGTGGTGATTTTTGAAAGATTGTGTTGAAGAAAAAGTTAACTGTCATTCCAGCATTGATATAAAAAATGTTTTTCTTAACAACTAGGACCACTCCCAATATAGTTTCCTTTGGTGCTTATAGCATTATAAGCACCAAAGGAAACAATCAGCACTTTTGATTACATCACAAAAAAAAAACGTAGTCAACGGAATAGACTCAAAATTAGAATCTTGTGTGATTCCAATGGCTAGGCATTCGAATGGTGCCCTCGATATTCGACATACTGGTATCATTTTTTTGTAAAGATTTAAATAACTCGAGTAATTTATTACATAAACCATGTAAACAAACATTCGAGAAGTTGTACGTTGAGTAATATACTTTCTAAAATGTGGAGCTTCGAAAACAAATTAAAAACTGTAGTTTTAAGTTTTTTTTCAATTCCATCGAAAGCTTGATTATCTGTTACATTTTCTTTTATAAGTTTTAAAGGCTTCGAAAATAAACCATATTTCTCTACAGCTCACCGAAATTCCAGGAATCGGTTTCTAAATATTTAATTGTTTCATTCTTCATAGTGACCCTCTGTATTAATCCGTGATTAAATAATAATTATGTAGAAAAACAAATTTCTAGACGTAGTAATTCGACGAACAAAAAAACACATTCCTAAAAAATATTAAGTCAGACTACTAATTAGACACGACTGGTTTTAACGTGTCTTAACACTGGTCTGAAAGTTAAAAATTCATAGTTCCATACTTATGTCACTTCCTGCGCAAGCACATTCCTCAAGAAAATTCACTCATCTCCGAGTGAAATAAAATCAATTTCGTGTAAATAACTCACAAAACGATAAGAATGTCGCTTTAATTTTGAGCACATTATATACAACGTTAATCAGGTGGACGTGCTCATTGAGTGTGTGCAACTTATAACAGTAATTTTTAACTTAGTGTGTCTTTAATTAAGCTTTGAACAAAATCTTTTCGCGTTAACTCTGATTTAATAATATGCGGTAATCCTAATTTATGCCATTTACTTAACTCAACATACACATTAAAAAAAGCACTTAAATCACGAGCTTTGCATGTATTTTAATGCTGCCCATTAATTAGCCATATTTTTGTACGAAGTGATTTTAAATTTTGAAATTTATATTTGGAAATCAGGCTGCACTTTCCAAGAAACGAAAAAAGCGTCCA